GAAGTTGGTTCCAGATCCTAGCCACCCTAAAAGTGAAATAGTGCCTCCTAATCTCTAACCTGAACCTATTCTCCAGCAGCTTCTGGCCATTGTTCCTCGCCACCCCAGGTGCTGCTGGAGAGAATAGGGCCCTTCCTATTTGCTGCTGATCTCCCCTAATGAGTTTGTAGCAGCCACCAAATCCCCCCCTCAGCCTCCACTTGAGGAGGCTGAACAGGTTCAGGTCCCTCAGCCTCTCCTCGTAGGGCCTGCCCTGCTGCCCTCCAACCATGGAGATGGCCCCCCCCTCTGAACCCCCAAGATAGGCCACATCCTTCTTGAAGCACGGTGCCCAGAACAGGATGCAGTACTCCAATTGTGGCCTAACTAATGTCACGTAGAGGGGGAGTATCACCTCTGGACCAACCCGAGATGCATCTTTGGATGCACAACAAGGTGCGGTTGGCTTTGCCGGCTGCAGTCTGACATTGGCAGCTTATGTTCATCTTTGAGTCAATAATGACTCAAAGATTCCTTTCCGCCTTTGTGCTCACAAGGGGGGAGCTCCCCAGCTTATATGCATGCTGTGGATTCCTTCTCCCCAGATGCAGCACCCTGCATTTATCTACATTGAACCCCATCCTGTTACCATCCACTCACCTCTGTAGTTTGGATAAACCTAAATTTCAGCCTCTCTCCCTTCAAGCATGCTTACCTCTCCCCACATCTTGGTGTCATCAGCAGACTTGGACAATGCGTCTTCCACCCCCTCATCCAAGTCGCTGATGAAGATGTTGAACAGTGTAGGCCCCAGGACCGAGCCCTGGTGGACCCCACTAGTCACATCCTGCCAGGTTGAGTATGACCCATCCACCACTACTCTGGGTGTGCTCCATCAGCCAATTTTTGACCCACCCAACTGCAGGCATCAATGCCACAGTTGCTCAATTTATTAGTGAGAATGGGGTGAGATGCGTCAAAGGCCTTCTTGAAGTCCAGAAAGACTACATCCACAGCAACACCATCATCCAGGGATTTAGCTACCTTGTCATAAAAGGCCATCAGGTTGGTTTGGCAGGACCTGCCTTTGATGAACCCACATTGATTTCCCCTGGGCATGATCTCCCCTGCTGGCCCCTCACAGATGTGATCCTTGATAATTTTCAAGGATTTTGTGAGACTGATGTGAGACTTATGGGCCTATAGCTTCCTGGGTCCTCCTTTCTTATAAATGGGGACATTAGCTAGTTTCTAGTCTCCAGGCACCTGGTCCGTGGACCACGATCACTCATACAGCCAGGCCATGCAAAAAAGTGTTGCTCAAAGGATTTTAACTCCATGGTGAAGAGCCTAACAGTGCTTTGATGCTCTGCAAGACAACCTGTACACAGTCTGTAGCAACTGTGATGAAAGCTGGCCACATTGCACTAGCCAAGCCATTGTACTAAAAAAGTTCCTTCCCCATCTTAGAGGGGGACAGGAAGAAAAGGAAGTTGTTTTTGGGTGACTTTTAAAAAAAAAAAAAAAAAAAAA